TTCAGTAGGAGAAGGTGGTTCTCCGGGAATCGCGGAGAACTAGCGCATCTAGGCGCCCGTAGATTAGATACCGCCATTCATGTATCGTACGTAAGCGTACGGCGCCCGAAGGTTCGGGCCTCGGGCGCCTGTGGGGGCAGAGTTCTACACCCCCCACCCATCCAGCGAGTACGCCGAGCAATCAAGCCCGGTCCAGAGTACTTGCGGGATTCGGGGAGTCGTGGGACTCGCGTACACTTACACCTCCGCTTCACAAGTCGCCATTCTCTCTTTCTTTCTGCCCGCCTGCCGCCTCTCCGCCTCTCCCCGCCTCACCGCCTCTCACCGCCTCTCCCCATCTGCGCACTTTGTCTGTTTTATCTCGTCGCACGGTGCCAGTTGAGAACAAAGCACATCAGCACTACAGGTGGGCTTCCCGGAACGAACTTGCTTACAGTGTCATCACTGCCGGATACTCATTCCCCCTTCCCGCAGCCCCTGCATAACCATGTGGCGGCAGCAAGCAGAGGGGGCGAGCGGCATGGACGGGCGGCCAGGCCGGGTCCGCTGTGCGTGTTGTACGTTGTGGGCACATGCTCTTGCGTGGGAGTGTCTGTCTGTCGAGCCGTAGGAAGGCAAGGGTCGCGTCCACAACAGGCGCAGATATCGGCGGGAGAGAGCAGCGGGTGTCGAGCGCTGTGGTGGCCTTTCCCAAAGGTACCCCAGCGGAGACCGGATATACGAGGTTGAGGTCGGTGAGTGATTTGACATGTGGAACTATGTCGAGGTCTCACAGTCCCGGTCTACAGGTTACGGGGCAGAAGTTTCTCAATACACGAGTACGTGCAAGAGGCCAACAAAGCAGCAGCGCAGCAGCAGACCAGTACAGCACCGGGGAGCGGAAGGGGACAAAGCGGAGTTGGTCGACCTAGCCAGCGCCCGTGCGGCAGAGGAAGGAGAGCATTGTGGGTGTGCCCGCATCACTGCATGAATTCACATCTGTGCCACTATGGTGAGAACGTGTCCCCTCCGCTCACATCTGCTCGCCTCACTGGACTTGGTAGACAGCAATGGCTCCGGCCAATCAAGACGTCCCGGGCGTCGATTCCACGTCGCCTGATGATCTGGATTTGTGGCCAGGGTAGTCACAGAGCACACGCACAGTCTTCGAACTCACCGACCAGGACGGACACACGCGGAGAGGGCGCCGCAGAAGAGGGTGTCGGGCGGGCACTGCTGCAGACCAGGTTGTCCCGCGTCATCTTGCAGAACGGGGATGCGTTCGGAACGTGAGCACGCATCACACATCTCTGTACGCGCGTTTTTGACGTAGCAGGGTGGTTGCGAGGGCCGCTTGTGGCTTGAGTGCCTGTATGCGAACCGCAGGCTGCCAGGAGCCTCCGAGGCAAGTGGAAGGACTTTTTCCACGTCCACATATACCTCGCGCGCATCCAGAGAGAGTACGGTGCATAGGAACGAACATTCCAGACGAGGATAAGCGGGGGAAACGAGTTCATCCCCTAGAGCATCCCAGGTGAGCGCCCAGTTCGACTCCTCCAGCCATAGGCTCAAGAGTCCGAGTCCCGTAGTCCCGCGCGGTCAAGAGAACGTCGTTCGCATCGACAAGGCAGTCCCGGAGTCGCGAGCGAAGAGAACGCGGGAGAGCGGCGAGGCAGGGGCGTCGGTTGAGTGCCAGTGGTGGCGGTGCGAGTGCAAGTCGCGCGCGGACGCATTATGGGCGTCTTATTCCAGCTTATTCCTCGTCCACGACATTTTCTCTCTCGCGACCATGCGCCGACATACCAAGAGCCATGCTACGCCTCTGGCGGACGGATCTTGGCATTGGCACTGCACGCGATGCGTTCTGTTGTTCAGCGCACGATTCGAGCCCTGTTCGGCAGAACAGAGGCTCTCTACGGTTCGTCCTCTGCCGCCCTGCTACTTTACTCGCTCGGGGAGCACGTAAATAGAGTCTGTCGTACTGTAATGCCATTTTCTGCTCGTACATGATGCCAAAATACAAGGCTCGAAGGCTCAAGCACCTCCCGCTCCCCCGGATACTGACCTCCCGCTCCCCCTACGCCTGCTACTGACCTACTGCTGCTAACCTACTACTCTGCCACTACTGACCTACTACTCTGCCAGAGTCCGTAATTCTCGTTCCAACCGTCTGCACACCCGTCGTGCAGCAACACACGCGGCGTGATCCGCTCCCGCGCGCATCCCAGATCCCCAGATTCGCTCGTCGCGCGCGCGGCGTCCCTGCGCACCGCTCGCGGAGGTATATTATGTCGCCAGACGCGGCCATCGAGCTTCAACCCGCCACTCGAGCTTCCACCGACTTCCTCCAGACTTCCCCTTCGCTACCGCTACCGCTACAGACATGGCTTCCACCGCCGTGCACATGCCCAGACCCGCCGTTAAGGTGAGTTGCCTATGACATCATCACATCGCGTCCTCCTGCTCACTACCTCCTCTATGTTACACAGCGCGCTGCTCTCACTTGGCCCGGCGACTCGACGCGTCGAAGCCACTTCGAGGACTTCCTCCGTGAGATCGGTGCCGACCCAGAGTCGACGCACCTGTGCTGCAAGGGTACGTGTGGCCAACACCTCCTCTAGGCTTCCAGCTAACGCAGCACACAACAGGCACCTCGCCGCATCCACATGGCCATGTGCATACGCACAAGGGATCGACAACTTCTCTGGGATCCAAAGCCAGATTGTCCCCGTCGCGCACGGTGAGCGAGATCTCAGATCACCGCAAGATACCACCACTCAATGCCGGATCTCATGTGCAGGGCGACAAGGCGCGCGCTTCCCCCGAGGGCGCAAGCAGCCACCACCACCACCACCACTCCCAGACGCAGGGTCGTCCCGCTATGGCCCGCGGCCGCACCATGTCCACGCCCAGGGTCGCGGCCCCGATGAGCCCCGCAATTCCCATCGCGCCAAAGAGCCCCGCGCTGTCGTACATCGACCTCGAGACGCACGACGCGACGCCGTCGTTCAACTACCTCTCCTCCGCGCGCGACGCGCTCCTCACCGTCGTGGGCAGCACGCCCGTCGACGAGCGGCCCTCCCGCTCGCCCACTCGGAGCTTCTTCCGCGACCGCGCCCCCATCTCGCGTTCGCCCGACTCTGACTCCAGCCCGCCGCCCTTCCCCTCGGCCTCGGAGCGCTCCCGCTCCTACACCCGCAACCGCTCGGCGAGTCGCACGCCGTCGATCGACTCGCTCGACACGGCTTCATCCTCGGAGGCGCCTGCAACCCCGCGCATGCACAACAACGTGCTCGCGCACGAGCTGCCGTCGCTCGACGATCTCGAGCGTGCCTCGCGCTTCCGCGTGCAGAGCACGTGTACGCACTGTCATCGCGCAGGCTCGAACTTCCCGAGCTGCGCGAAGTGCGGCGAGCGTTGGTGCTCGCGCGAGTGCCGGCGCGCATCGACAAGTGTGCACGCGCACGCTTGTCACGGACGCGCTGCGAGCGCGTGAGCCCGGGCCTCACAGAGAGGGGGCTAGTCACTGTCAACCTCCAGGGCAGCGGCGAAGACGGAGGGGACGATAAAGGGCCTGGGTGCATACTCAGACTATGAC